TGAACCGTAGAGATGCTGCGAGGGGAGGGAGAGATTGTTTGTTAAGCTTTTGTGGAAGGACATACTCCATGTTTCCTGCTAGGGTGTAGCCAAGGGCTCTGTTTATGGTTTTTGCTCCAGCAGAGTCGGATAAGTCTGAGAGACGCTGTTTTGTGCGAGCCCTGCGTGAGCTCTGCCGTGAAATGTTTTACAATTAAAAATCTGCTAACATTCACCAGTGGATCGTGGTCTAACAACAGCCAGAAAACAATGAGCCTGGAATTAAACTCCCATGTGGCTTTTTCTGCCGTCCTCTCAAGAGCTGACCACCTCTTCCCTCCTTTTGTGCTTAAGGTAGTTCTAAATGGGAGGAAGAAATTACGTCTTGAAATGTGAAGTGGAAGCTGATAATATTCTTCCCTTGGTCTGAGAGGATGTCTAGTGCTGTGCTGGCTACATCCTCTGCAAAAGAGGTCTGGGTGATATAAATAGGTGATATTTAGCAGTTGGTGCTAAGTGTGGGGCTTTTTTTTGGCTGGTTAAAAAGGACAGCAATGTGCTGTAGAGTGTCAAGTGGCGTCGTGGGGCTGTGGCATTAGTGCCACTCCACGACTCTGCATCCCGTGTGTTCAGATCGCAAGTGAAAAGCTGGCTTTTCTGGCTGCCAATTTTGCTGCCTCCATCTGGGATGTAAAATTCAAGCTGTGTCTTTCCTGGCTCTGGTCACTAATAATAAAGATTCTTCATTTGGAACTTAGTTGACAAAATTGATGCTGATGCACGAGCCGAAAGAGAATCCAGCTCACTTTCCTCGAGATGTGTAGGCTAAAGCACTAACAAGTAGGAACATCATCATTTTAATCTAGAAGATCATCAAGCGGTTTAATAGACCCCAGATTTGTGGAGGAAACAGAAGATATTTTAGCACAACAAGCGTGTTGATCATACAGCTTTTTAACGAACGCTAGAGGTTGGTCAGCTAGGCTTCTGCTGCCCGACTAACCAGGAATAGCTCATTACATGTCATTAGGAAGCTTTTCTGCAAATCTGGGCAAATTACATTTGGTATAACATATGGCACCGTCTTCAACTCTCTCCTCGGGAAGTGAAGTCTGACTACTCAGTCGACGAATTGCCATATTTTTATCAGCAAAATGGATGTGCAGCTGTGACATACGCGTCTGAGCGAGGTAACCTTTAATGTCTTTGGCAAATCCGGGCATTAGCAGCCTGTTCCTCTCCGTTAACATCTCCTCCAGAAAGTCATTACCAGCTGAGATGATACTAACACTTTCTGTCGTGGAGGTGTTTTCCTCCTCTTGACGCTATTGAACTGTCAGGGAATAAAGTGCCTCATGTTCTCATTTTCCTCCGAGGAGACGGAGAACAGAGCTTGTGCTGCCGCTTGTTGTAGCGAAGGGAGGTGGTGCGAAGCGCGCGGCGCGGCGTGTTGTGAGTTGGAAGGACACGCTGTGCAGGATTGTTTGCTCCACACCGCCTCCCGCTGCTCTGCTTTACTAAACTCGTGGAGGAGGAATATATTGGTTAAATTGTACGTGTAGGCATAATATTACAGCGCTCGAAAGGGTGAAGGCAAGCGGTGCTTCACTTGAAACATGGATTTGGCAAAGGCTGCTGGTCTCGGCTCCTTCCTCCCTGTTGTGCCCCAAGTCTCTGCTCGGTTGAGTCTTGGAAACGAACGGGATTAAACCCTGGGGGCTGCTTGGCCGTGGCAGAGCCGGCTGGAGGACTGCTTTGCTTTGCTCTGGAGATCAACAGGGAATCTTGCAGGGCTCTCGGGGATCCCTGTCGTGGCAGCCCACCCCCACTTGCTGCTTTTTAGTACTTATTGAAACCTCCCTTTCCCAGCTCCTGCTTCCCCCAGCCAGTCAAAATCAGCAGTCGGGCAAAAACAGGCGGCGAAACGTGGGTGGCCTCTAGGGCGTGTTCTTCTGTGGCCCAACATGACTTTCCTCAGTGCTGCCTTTTTTTTTTTTTCCTAATTTTTATTTTTTCCTCCTTGATGTCTTCCCTTTATTGACTATCTTTTGGCAACTGCTGACAAGAATGACAGGTTTAGGCTTGAACTCACCCAGGCCCAGAGCATTAGTGATGTCTCATGGGTTAGCGTGGAAGTTGTTACCAAAACAGCAGTTAAAGCTCTGATGTTTATGACCCTCAGAAAAGAAGGATCTTAAGTAACTTTCTTTTCCTATAATGGGAAACACCTTTTCCTAAAGTGTGGACTTCTTACATCAATTCAGAATGGCTGAAAACATTTCCTTTAAGAGAATCACTTGAACTGGGTAGAGTCCTCCTCTGCTGAGTTGAGTTGCTGCCAGCCTACATTTGTTTTTGCTCACTAATAGCATTATTAGTTCGCTTTTAAAGACTGTAGTTATGGAACACAATAATAACCCTTTTCCCTCCCGCCACATTGTGGTGCGAATACTTAACTCTGCACGAACACCAGCGCTTTACATTTTAATTCTTTTCTACTGAACAAGGAGTGAGTCCGCCGTGTTCGGAAATAGTTTAAACCTGTCACTGGGGAACAACAGTCACGGTTAAAAAAGGGGATAGAGTCTGAATTCCCTGGGACAACTGTCTTTAAAACCAGACACACAAGCCCTCCACCCCCCAAACCTCCCAAATTACCAGGCTGGATTTCCTCACTAGCAGGCTTCTGAGGGCTGCTTGCTTGGCTCTCTGCTCCGGGATTAGGAGAGAGCATCTCCCTTATCGTTTTGCACATGCTGTGCCATCTGTCCCAGATCTCCCTTTATAGGGGTGTGGATTCCAAATGGCATTTCTTTCTTAGGAGATAACAGGCATGTCTGAAGAATCTTCCTAGGTATGGCTGGGGTGCTATTTATGTTGCAAGTTTCTTTTTCCCCACCTTGTCCTGCAGCTGGAGTGAACATTTCTGGTTTTCTACACCCAGGCACTGAGAAAACGTTTTATGCCGTAGTCCCTGGGAAACACGAAGGAAGTCCCCTTGTGCTGTTGTGTGTGTTCTGCTCGAAACTGGTGAAGATGCAACATAACAAAATTCAGACATTACAAGGACACAAGAGAATGCCTTTAATCTTTTATTGTACATTATAAAATGTTTATTGCTCTGTCTGTATCAGAGGTGCTGACCTCTCCCTCTTGGTGATGGAGGAGTATGTTCTGGCAAAGGATCCACTGAAGAGACCTTTGGGGTTGGCCTGCCTTCTGAAAGCAGCACAAGGGAAGCCCTTGCTTGTTCAGCAACGTGCCTGAAAGCAGATTTCCTAGTGCCTTTCTCCCAAATCAACTGGTTTGGGAAGGCTGGTGACAGTGGAAGAGGAGAGATGGCTGAACTCTCTTACTGCCAGCCTGTTTCTTTGCAGGGACTTTCAAACCAGGCTCATCTGAGTGCAGATTTAGTGTAATGAGATTCAAACCCCACTCAGGCCAACCTGTCTTGGTATTTGATGGAACAAGTAGGATCTTGCCTCATCCCCTAGTGCAAATGGAGTGGTCTTGTGGAGTAATTAAATACATAGAGATACCCCATGGCACGACACGTAGAGTAAATCTTTTCCATGTGATGGGCTTGCATCTACCAGCTTCCAGAGCACCAGCAGTCCCAGGGATCCTGTCAGCTTGCAACCATCGAGCACTTAGTAAGAGAGAGGAGAACCCCAGCCCCTTTCCCAGTCATCGTCGCCCTGGTGGAGGACTGAGTGCCTCCAATGGAACCCTGGCATTACAGCGTCACCAAATCAGTGCGGCCAGGACGCGGAACGAGAACCAGACCCTTCCAAAGGAACCCTACTAAAAGAAACAATTTAAGAACATAAGCCCTCAGAAAAAGGTCCCTTAGGCAAGAGCCTTTCACAACAAATAGCTGTTGCCGCTGGAGACCTTGCATAGCAACCGGTATCATGAGTTTCTTTTTCTTCTTTTTTTTGCTGACTGGCTACATTTTTACGGACCCTTGATCACACCAGTGGTGGATTCGGGCCCAGCTGAAAATACCATGGAGAAAATGGTTGAAATTATCCTGGAAGCTAAAATAACAGCTTCTGGTGTCCCCTCCTATCGGTCTGTGCCTCGGTGGTCAGCGTGCCCTGATTATCTGAGATGAAGAGCACCAGTGTGAGACAGGAGAGACAGCAGCAGTGGAGATGTGCTGCAGCCTAACGGGAGAACAGCCAGGCAAGTTCTCACAGTGGGGACGGAAACTGGGATATGCCTTTTTTTCTCCTTTTCTTTTCGTTTTATTTTAAAAACCCACCTGCAAGACGTGTTACACACCACACATCAACGGAACAGAGCAAGCCACGAGCACACAGCAGCCGAAATCTGGTCGCTCGTCGTGTCTGCGATGAGCTTTTCCTCCTCTCTTGCTTGGCGAGGGGTGACAGTGACTGATGCCTGCGCTCACCTTAATACTGTCAAGATGTAGTGACAGTGAGACGAAATAAAGATACAACAGAACCTTGTACGTTTCCAAAGACAGGGAAATTGTTCCAGAAGATGGAGTGTGAAGGTGGAGAGGAGTGCGGGAGAAGTTGCTCCAGCTCAGGTGATTCATGAGTCCGGTACCGGATCACTGGCAGCAGCTGTCTCACCAATGCTTTTCCATCTTAATTGTTTGTTTGGGTTTGGGGGTGTTTTTCTTGTTGTTTTTTTTTTTTTGCAGGATTTTTCTTTCTGGCCAGATGTTTTGCAGAACACAGACGAGGAGGTGTATGCCAGCAAGTGACGGTCGTTAGGTCTCTTTCCAAATTGCTCCGATGATATTTCACCTCCCTAGTTATCAAGGCTCAGAGGCAGAAAGTGAGAGTGAGGAATGGAGTCCATCCGTCAGATGGCAGGCTGTCATGCTTCAATGATATTCACTGAGGGCTTGTTTTTTGGAAACTAGAAGAGAAGAGGGAGAAAGGATGTATGGGAATTGCTAGAGAGGGAAAAAAACCCCACATCCGAGAGGAATGTGATGCGGTGGTCAATTTTTGTTTTTTTTTTTTTTAATAGAAATTCTTCTTCCCATCCCTTCAGGATAGTGAAAAAGGGCCAGAGTTGAGGCTTTAGGGCTGCGTGGTTCATCAGTATCTGCTTCTGAATGAGCAGGAATTGGGGGACTATTCCAAATAATTAGTAAATGTGAAGTGGGAGAGGATGCACCGGAGTGCGAGTTATCAAGTGAAACACAAAGAAGTTAAATGAAGTAAGTTGGGTTAAGTCTGCTTACATTATGGATGCAGGAGACCTCTAATTTCATGTGTGTTACCAGCCACGCTCCTGCTGATCAGCAAATCAGTTAATTACAAGAGTAATTTAGCACACAACACCCGAGGGCTGCTGTGGGGGTAAGGACCCAAGCAGCTCTGGGATCGCAGCATCACTCTCTGCATTTTTCTTCCTGAAATGTTCGGATATTTCAGAAATGTGGGTTGAAATCTGTTTCACTGATGGGCGTGCAAGCTAATCCTGAAGTGCTCGGCGTCCTGATGCCTCTGGGAGGCTCAGACCACTAACGAAGCCGTGGTCCTGGCGTGCATGGGTGCGAAGGGGTGTTCCCTTCCTGCATCTCGGCTGGAGGGAAGATGTTGAACAAAGGCTGCTTTTTGGGTAGTTTAGCCGAAGCCCAGCTGGGAGCTGGTTGTCTGCCCCATCTCCCACCACGCACCAGCAGCATCTCACCTTGCTGCGGAGGAGCCCTCCGCTCTGGTGCTCTGGAGTGCTGTTCTCCGAGGCGCTCTTGGCTTTCTCCTTGCTGTTATTTGGCTCGTTGTCTTTGATGATATCGTACTGTCTGCAAAACAGGGCGATCACCCCTAACAGGAAAAAAGCATTAAGGATCACACAAACGAGCTCAGCCCCTGGAGCCTGCAGAGATCAAGAGATCCCTTGCCTGCCAGCCGGCTCCGTGCCTTCTGGTAGAGATCTCGGCAGAGTTCGCAATTGCTCCTGAGGATCATTTTCCAACACAGCTAGTCAGCCCTCTGGCTGTTTCCTCCTCGATGCCTAATTCCATGCTAAACTCGTTAGAAACAAGGACAGAAGATTAATTATGTTCCAGCTTCCCTGTCATTAAATGGGACAAGTTTTGTAAGCCCTGCGTTTGGATAGAGAGCGACACCAACTGTGCGGTTAAATGAGATCGTTGCTTTGCAAACATGGGAGCTCCTGGAATTTCTGGTTTGTGAAAAGACATCCCTCTGATCTTTCTCCTCTAAGGTGAACAGAAGGAGCTGGAGCTGGCAGATGAGAGACAGGTACCGTACCTGTCTGCCTGTGATATGACCCTTTTGAGCAGCAGGACAGCATCTGCAAATACGAAACAGTGATGGCAGGAAAAGCTACCGGTGGAAATTTCCTCCCCCCGCCACAGGCACATGAAGAGAAAAAGCAGGGGCAGCCATGACATGTAAGAAAGATGAAAACACCTTTCTCAGAAGCTTTCACGTGACATTTTGACAAAATAACTTCTCTGCCTGCTGATTCCAAATGCAGAGGTTAAGTAGACTCGGGCAGATGCTGCTTCTCTCTTACTGAAAAATATTCCAGCTCCCCTAATAGCAAAACATATGTAAAGCTTTCACCAGATCATCTCAACCTGCTCTGTAAAGCGAAGCATTGTGCTGGCAGCTGCCCCTGAGGTATTACTGATAAACACAGCGGTCCAAATTCTTTCTTGCATATGTGAACAAATGGCTGATCCCAGGAGAATAGGTTAACATCTGCCACAGTCACAGTGATTTCGGATGGTAAAACTGAGGCACGAAGAAGCAAAGTGCCCCGAACAACACTAGAAATACAGACAGTCCAAGAGCTTGGGTCTCAATTCCAAGCCCTGGGCACAAGCCGGTTCTGGTTTGCATTTGCTAAAAACTTTATCAGATATTCAGGTTATGGCCAGCCAGGTGAAGAGCCTGAAAGAGGGTTTTGTATATCGAGACCTTGTAAAGAATTCACCAGTTGTAGAAAGATTTTCTCCCCCACCCACTTTCCTTTTTAAATGTAAGTCATCTGTCTAGAAGGGAAATTGTGGTATTAGCAAATTCTTTGTTCTGACGCTGATCTCAGTTTTAGATTATATTACAGTGGGAGATGATTCACTTGTTCAGTTGCTTCATGTAATTATTCATGATTGTTTTTACTGGCAGGGTGTTTAAATCTGAATGTGAGCAACTGGAACTTGACATAAATGCTGAAAAGATCATAGACTAGAAGTTCTGGAACCATTTTAGTTTAGTTTAGGTTTTCGTTTGGTTATCATCTTTAGCAATAATTCCTGTCAAGTCTCTGGAAATGCAAATAATGCATGGTAACCTCAGGACTTTCCAGGGCAAAAAAATAGACGTATTTCTGATTCTGTGTCACCTGGGTTCACTGGTAAGAAACCGTCAAGTTTGTCAACGCTGCCAACCACTCAGTACTGTTCTTCTGACCAAGAAAATTCTGTCTGGGAGCGTTTCCACACTCGGTGTGTGGAAAAAGTGGTTTAACTGGGACAAGAGGACTAAATATCGAGAGGCAGAAGTTGTCTCTTGTGGATCAGAGATTTACCATTGTGCTAATTTTGCTTCCTGCCAATTTCCTTGGGTCACCTGAGCCGTTCCCCCTTGGGCAACGTGCTCTGTGACTTGCAGAGAGCAAATGTTTTTTCATTAATGTTTTACGTTGCGGCAGGAGCAGCCAGGGGAGGCTGGGGCTCTAAATAGAAAACAAGCATGTGCAAACTTTATTTCCCATGAAGTCATGCATGTAATTTCCAAACTGAACAAGCTGAGGAGCTGGCTACAGCATCTTCAGACACGCTAAGCTGCTGGAGCAGAAGTCGGGGGCACTTCTCTCTCCCCGTTTGCTAGCTTAAAACACGGGCGAGATCTGTCCTAGGTGCAATTTGCTGTAAGCCCTATGGCAGTGTAGTCCCAAACTCACGCTGGAAAACTGTCGTCTCTCTCTGGAAATTTAATTTCTATATTTGTAGGTATTACAGAAAGTCGTAGTGAAGGATCTCGTTACTGTAGGAGCACATTTATCTGATGCTCTGCTAGAGGCTTTGCTAGCTATGCCCATCGCATCCCTCAGCAAAGTGGCCCTGGGAGGATTTCCCTGCACCTTCCACAGCACTGGGGGCTCTCAGCTGCAGCTGGGCAGGGGGTCTTGCTTTTATAAAGTGAATGTCTTGTCGTGGAGCTTCTGCTTGGATTAAAAGGATTAGTGTCTGCAAGGTGTAAGGAGGAATTTCAAAAGGTTGTCAAAAGCACCCTGTGGGACGGCAGCTTTCAGCTCATGCGAGTCCTTCCTCCTCCCACCATCTCAAGCTCATGTAGATGTTTCCTTCCTTTTGGCTAACGTGTTTCTGCTAACATCCCTCTTCTTCCTATTAAATACTATTCTTTGTATTTTAGTAGTGGGGGTCAAGACGATCTGCGTTAATGGTGTTTTGATGCGTGGGGCTATTTTGCTCTTTCGACGCTTCCGTTCTTTTAATTGATTATGAAGTGGGTTTGAGTGTATATGTAATAGCGGACATTAAGAACGAGACTTTTAAATTTCCATTTTGCAGGAGAGTAGTTGGGATCATATAATAGCCAGATAATTACAGTGACCTGTATCATTAGAAGGGCTTGAGGCATCCTGTTGGATGGCCGAGGGCATTGTCATCGGTTCTGGAGAAATGGATTAGCAGTGGGGAATTGGTTCATCAAGGCAATTGGTTCATCAAGACCATTATCTTGCTTTCTGCTGGACCGGATCAGACCACCGATGCTTTTTGGCACTGCTGCAGAGGGCACTGAGGTGCCCTCACAGGTGAATATGCTGGAAGGAAGGGTTTCTTTTCAGGTCTTACATAATTACACACGCAAATCCCTCAAGCCAGCGGGCCCTAGGGCTATGACATGCTTTTGACAGAAAGGTTGAACTGACCTGCCCACATAAACAACACCACAACAATGATGAGGATTTCCCCCGCTCGCAGCTGTTGGTTTTTCTTCGCCATCTCCTTCATCGTCACCTCATCTGCACAAGCGGAAAGAGAGATGGTGAAACCTGACCGTGCCAGGGCTGCCCCGGGCACCAGTTTAACCAGTGCCCTCGACTCAAATCAGCGGTGCATCAGCGTCAAAGCTCGCAGCGGGAGACTCCTCGCCCGTCAGTCGTGGCAGCAGCTCGAGCTGTGCTTCCAACTTGCAGAGCATCAATCAGCTGCTCTGCAGCGAGAGGACGGGCGAGGGAGGAGCAGTGAGACAGGACCAGCGGGCAGTTACCGCACAGGAGCTGCTGGGGGGTAAGGCCACACGTTCTCTGGCCCCATGGCAGCTGGCTCTGCTCTGTCTCTGGTGTCTGTTAGCACCGTCTGTGCCTGTCACAAAGCCTTGCATGCTTCAGCAGTTCCTCTCCCAGCTCAGGAGTGCGGAGCCTGGCATGATATTTTTCAGCGGAGCCACGGGATTCAGAAAACGAGTAGAGCCTTTTGCAGGGTGTAATGCGCCGCCTCGGCTTCAAAGCACTAAGAAGATTACAGTTCAGGCCTCCAGGGAGGGAAGCCGTGCTCCTCTTAGTGCTTTCAGATGAACAGCAATTCAGTATTTACAGACACCAAATCATTTTAGCAGAAAGAGTCAGGAACTCACAACATCCTTGGAACCACATCCAAAAGCCCGGCAACAGGCTAGGTCCTCAGTAGGCAGGCAGTAACCTTTTAAATCCCAGACCCATGTACTCCCTGACCTCCCTTTCTATAGGAGGGGATCTTGGTGAAGGAAAACCTTCAACAATCTGGTTTAGCTTAAGAGGAACAAGTGAGGGAGTTGCCAGTGAGGAAGTGCCTGGTTTCCTCCATGGAGATACTCAATATCCACCTGGACACCTCAAGAGGTCCCTTCCAACCTCAACTATGTGATTCTGTGATTTGGCAGAAATATTTGAAATGTAAGAGAAGTGGGAGTCTCTGGGTACTTTTTCCCCCTGCTGTCCTGGAATCCAAGCCCAGGAGGCTCACCGAGTGCCCTGTGAGCACAGTGGTGCTATGCCCAGGGCCATCCAGGGCTTTAGTTCCACCTGAGTTCACAGGCTGCTCAGGAATTTCCTCTGGCTTTCTCCACTCGCGAGGATGCTGGTCACGCAACTCCCAGTCTGGAAACCTTCTCCTCATTGCTTTGCCTGTTAAACCCATCTGAAACGGGAGAGACGAGCAGGGGGCTTTCAGCAGCACCTCCCAGTCGCTTCGTGTACCCGCCAGCCTCGCTCTCTGGGGACGATCGGGGCATCCCGCTCGTCCACATGGAGCTGTGAGAGACCCCAGCTGTTCTCCCTGCATGGGACACTCTCTGCAGAGCCCTACGCTGCCTGGGCGTCCCAGGGGCCACACAGGAACTCACCCACACTTGCCTTTATTTTTAGAGGCTAGTTTCTCAGCTTCCCTGGGGGTCTTGAAGAGGACTGGCTCACTGGCAGGGCTCTGGCCTTGGATGCTGATGGACTGGACATGCACAATGTACTCAGTGTCCTCCTCTAGGTCCCAGAGGGCACAGGAGCGGGTGGTGGTGTTCACCTCCTGGATGAAGCGCAGCATCCGCACGTCCTTCTTCTGGAAGCCGAGAGAGGAGAGCACAGAGTGGTGGAGAGGCCTCCCGTGGGCACTGCTGTCATCTAAGACCACTGCTTCCTGCCCTATCCGCCATGGACGTGGGGACCGTCGCACCCTTTCCTCTCTGCAGCTACCAACACACGGAGGGAGCACTGCTGCAAAGAGGACAGGAAGGCAAGTCCCCTCCCAGCCCACGAGGGACAGGACGAGAGGGAATGGGCTTAAACTGCAGCAGGAGGATTTGGAAACTGAGGGGACCTGGGATGAAGATGAACATGACCGAAACTGGGTGACTGTGGACACCATACCTGTTGGGAAATTGCAAATCCAATGACAACTTCATCTTCCAGAACATCCCAAGTCACAACGGCTGAGTTGGCTTTCAGATGTTTGACTGTGACATTTACTGGAGCCGACGGGCTGTCTGCAAGGAGGGAGAGCAGAGCCTTTACAGAGGCAAAGTCACAGCCACAGGCAGGAGACAGAGCAAGGGCAAGGGAGGGAGCGGGAGACCACCCTGCTCAGAGTCCATCCTGTGTATGATTCTGGATATGGGACACGGAAACTGCAAGTACTCCGTGTCTTAAGTACCAGTGAGGTCCTAGGAGATCTCTGCTGAGAATGTAAGTGGCATCAGACACGTGTGAAATAACTGACCCTTGGAAAGAGTCTGTGGGTGAAATAACTGACCCTTGGAAAGACTTTGACAACACAGCAAACCACCAAGTAGTTCATTCATCTCACCCTTCCCAACCACGTACCATGTTTTGTCTGTTGGTTCCTGTTACGGTCTGACAGTGACAGCTGGGAGGAAATGCAAAATCTGCCTTGAAAGTATGAAAACAGAATGCTTTGATGAGCACTCTGGAGGTTTGTAATTCAGGAGTAGTAAATGGAAGCGCTTCTTTTGCTTTTTCCCTGTTAGTTTGACAGAAATTTTTTTATATGGGCTTTGTGGCCGACGGGCTGTCTCCCTGGTGTTCCGAGGACATCCAGCAACCATCCCCTCGTGGCTAACAGGACAGAACACGCTGCAACAGCACCGATGGACCGTTGCAATGTGAAAAGGGCAAGCCCTGAAGGTAGCAGCCCGAGGTTCTGTGTTTGTTCCCAACGTGGATCTGCGTAGCTGCCAGCCCTGCCAAGGAGACCCAGGCTCTGAGGTACCCACAGGGCTCCTGCATACCCTCACCAGGAGCCTCTTGCCGAGGGACCCGCACAGCGTAAAGCCCTTCTTGGCATCTCAGGGGGAAGGTTTCGCCTCATAGGCTTGGCACAGTCCTTCCGGTGCTTGGTGCAGCGGATTGGACTCCTATTCCCTCTCCTCTGGTCAAATTTAGTTCAAAATTTCCAGCTTGTGCCCTGAACCTAAAGGCAGTAAATGCTAATAAGATGAGCAAGACTCCGACTACCCCCAGGAGGTCAGTAGGGTGAGAAGGAGTGATGTTTTCTGACTCTCATAAAAGAAGAATACTTTGATTGCTCTGTACCCGTTGCATGACACTGCCCTTCTGGTGCTGGGGCTGAGGTCAACGGTAAAAGAAGGATGCATGTGTGCACGTCTCCAGTAACACTTGTTGGATTTATAGTCAGTCCCAACCGCCTCAATGCGACCAAAAATATTCTAGCCATAGTGTCAGTGTCTCCTAACAACTGACTTCACTCCCGGTGAATGCTCCCCTGGGAACAGAGAAAATAACAGGAGCACAAAATTCCCCGGCTGAAGGTCAGAGCTGTTCTACACTTCGCAGAGCGGTGACCTCTCTCCTCCCCAAACTACAGCCAGAGTCCAGCCTTCAGAGCTGCCCCTCCTAGCAGATGGGAGACCCACACCCACCAGTGAGACCGTTAAGAATAGGATGTCTGCACAATCCATTGGGACCCAGACTGATCCTAGGGAGTCCTTTGGTGAGCAGAGATGTTGCTGAAAGCTAAGTTTACACGGATTTGGGACTTCAGGAGGAGGAGCAGTGAGCAATTGCCCTCTCCAGGATTTCAGAGCAGGAGTTGTCCTCCCTCTCTGGAGCAGATGATCAAGTCAGCATTGACCCAGAGCATTCTCATCTCTCAGGGGTTGAAATGAGGCAGTGGTCTCCAGCCAGCTCTTGGAGAATGGAAATGTTGATCATTCGCACCCTCCTGCAGCAGCAGGGCCAAGGACAAGCTGAGCCCGGGGACGAATCGTCCTCCTCAGCCTCAACACGAGTCCCAAGCTCAGCTCCCTGCTGGGACACAAGGGAGAGACGTGGGTCTGCAGCTCCTCACCTTCCCCGGCGACTGAACCCAATCGAGAGGGTCTAATTTTAGGAAGGGGCAGTCAGCAGATGGGAATGCGTACGGGGAAGGTCTGTGAGTCATGCCTGATGAATTTGCTAGAACATACGGAGGACATGACGGAGTTGAGAGATGGGAGACAAAACAGTCTCCAGCTGCAGCCAGGCACTTTGCCCTTCTCAAAGTACAGCTGTACAGTTAAACGCCGGCATGGTCGTCTTCCCTGGATATTTTTAGGAGCTAATTTTACTTTTTTTTTTTAGGAGCTACCACTGATTTACCCAGCTTAGGTTGAGGAGGTCTTTAAGAAGAGATGAATTAACCCCACAGGGACAGAGAGCGGAGTATCGGGGAAAAAGCTTCAGGCTGGGAAAAGGGAATGTACAACACACCGCAGCCGGTGCTGAGTCCCCTTTGAAATTTGTGACCCTGAGGGAAGCACAGCATAAAAAGAGTCTTAAGTTTCCTGATGACATAAAATGTGGGGGAGTTGGAAAGACCTAGCAGAGCTGGAGAGGAGCAAACAAACCTCTCTGGGAATTGGTGAGGGAGGGTGGAGGGCTGTGAGGCAGAAGGGAAGTGCTCAGCAAAGCTGCAACCTGGTGCTCGAAGCCTGCGAAGCAGGATCTGAGGGGAGGCAGGGGAGAAATCGGCTGGTGTGATGGTCATGAGAAAGCTCAAAACCCCAACTTGTTGTAGTACCTGAGAGGGGAGACGGGGTAGTTGAAGTCAGCAGATAATACAGGGAAATCTGGGACAGCAGATCTGAGCGTGCCTTCCCTTTCACTACCACAGATTAGGAGTAGCTACACATAAATCAACGGTGTCAAACCAGTATAAAAGCAGTATGAGAAGAGAGTTAAGCACGGCGTTTGACAGAAATACAAAGCCAGAAAAATTAGTTTCCTGCTCCCAGCGCTGAGTGAATGATTTGGAACCAAAATTTTAATTGGTGAGGATGCTTTTGTCCCCGCTCCCAGGACATGCATGATGAGATCATGGCTTTCTAAAATCTTACTGTTCCAAGCTATTCCACACCGCTTTTGGCTCCTTGGGCCAGTTGCGGCTCTTGGTAGTGCCAACCCGGCTGAGGTCGGGTGGAGAAGGTGCAATTTCTGTTTCCCAGCTGGCTGTAGGGGGTTGTCAGAGCTTTGAGGTGCCAAATCCAAACAGTTGGTTCCTTCTGGACCCATATGCAACTCTGGGAAACTTTGGTTCCATGCCCGTGGCAGCCGGCGAAGCTGCTGGTGTTCTGGGAGCAGGCACAGAGGGTGGGATGGCCCCAGGGCTGTTTCTTCCCCGCACGGACCTTGCTGTGCATCAAACCCTTCTCATGCACGTTTCCTCCAGAGACGCTGAGGACAGCACATCCCCTGTCTGATCCCTAAGGCACACACACGGGCCAAGATTTCTGGTTTAGCAGTTTAGTTTCATCCCAGCGCAGTGGCCGCGATGCCTGCCAGAGCAAGTCACACATTGCAAGCTGGCAGAGGACCTGTTTGGCCAAATTTGAGTTAGGGCCATGTGCTGGGATGAAAAGACGCTCTCGTGCTCAACATCAGCAGAAATCGCAGTCCCCTCTTTAAGGGGGAGGCCCTGATTCGTTAAGACAAAATGCAAACGGCTGCTTCAGAACCGATCCTGCTTAAACCACGTCCTGTTGCTTTCCCACAGGGACCTTGCAGCAGGTGAGGCGCCGTCCTGCGTCCCTCAGGGCTGTGTGTCCCAGCCTTGCATCGCTCCTGTCCACCTTGGGCCCTTTCGGCAAGAGCAGGTCGGAACCGCCTCCGCACGGCGAGGAGGCAGGAGCGATGAAGATTACCTTTAATCCCCGCTTAATGCTGAGAACTCCTTCCAGCCTCTCATTAAATGCTTTGCTGATTATTAATGGGCTTTTATTTGAGAAAGAAAGAGGGGAAAAAAACCAAAAAACCACCCACGCTTTACAGCTTTGGGCTGACTCCTCCCTGGTTTTTATTGTCGACGCAGCAGCTGCTGGCACAAGGGAGAGGAAACCACCCACCTGCCCCTTCATCATCAGAGCTGTGGCATGGATGGGATGAGGAGGGAGAAGGAGAGGGGCAAAAGTTTGTCTCCATCCCATTGCTGCTCTTGCCTGTGAAGGTGGGGCTGCTGATTGAGGGTGGTGGGGTGAGCAAAGGGGGTGTCCAAGACATCCATGTGTCTTGCCTGGCACCTCAAGGATCAGGGAGGTACCTGGGCCACAAAGACATCACTGGGCAATGCTCAGAGCTCCTGGGCTCCTTTACCACGGTCCCTCTCCTTGCTGTTGTGTCTCTCTCTTTTGAAGCCACCTCCAATTTGCACCCTCTGCAGCTGAGTCCTGTGCTGAGGCTATAGGTTTGGAATTAGAGCTTGTTCCTGGATTTACCTCCCCAGCCAAGAGACCCAGCGTCCCCGCAAAACCGTTCCTTCTGAATTCAGTTATCCTGGAAACTCCGTCCACTCGGAAGTGCCTGGAGTGAAACGCAGCTGCTTCCTGCTTGGCTAAGGCTATGCTATACTCACAGCATTTTCCAATTCAGTTAGACCCTCTCCCACAAGCAGCTCCCCTCCTGCTGTGAAGGGTTCAGCTGCTTCGGAGCCCCCAGGACACGGTCCAGCAAGCAGAGTGCCTGCCCAGGCTCTGACGCATCCACCTGACAGCAGCTCCGCGCCCTTTCCTGCGGGAAGTGGCAAATGTCAGCCTTAAATCCCTGTGGCTCTTTATTCCCACGACACAACCTTGCCTGTGGATGCGGGAGATGGAAGGACACAACTTGCAAGGGGAAGGAGTGTCCCGTACGGTCCCACGTGAGGTTCTCCGTGCAGCCCACTCCCTACGCAGGGGTACCAAAAGACCGGCTTTCACTGCCTCTCTGAGCCTTTCTCTGCTCTCCCAGCACGGCTCCCTTCAGCGCATATAAATTGTTTGTCAGCTTTCTGGGGTACGTAGGAAGGGCTGGCAGCGCTGTTTGGCTTCCCCGAGGGTTTTAATGAACCTCCCTTCATTCTCCCCGCAGGGAGCAGGGTCCACAGCGGCCAACCTGCTCTTGGCCACACGGGAAGCTGTTTGCTGAGCTCCGATAATTTCAAAGTGCAGAAAGACCAACTGGTGGTGCTTCAGTCTGAGAAAGAGGCAACTATTTC